TTAAATTGAAATTATGATAAATGAAATTGTACATTTATAGTTTTGTCACTGTTCGAGAAATAAATGTCCATGAGAAATAAAAGTTTCAAACAAACATAAATAATTCCAACTGTATAACTGAATCGAAACAAAATTTTTTAACTAACTTTAATTTTAAAGTTTTTCAAAATTCATAAAATAAATTTTCATTAAATTGAAATAATAATAATAAAAAGAATAATTTTGAAATTTGTATAGAAAAAATAAATCAAATTTCCTCAATATTAATATTTAAAAAAAAAAATAGAGATGCAATTTTCATAAGAAAATTATTTGAAAGCTTCTCAATTCGAAATATCAAACAAGTTTTTAGTTTGTTATTTTTTTTTTAAACTTTAGTTTTGTTTTTCATAAGGCTTCGAGAAAGAAACTTTTTAGTTAAAATACTGGGATATACCATTTCCAACAAATTTTTCCTTACAAAATAAATTATCTAAGTTAGGTAAGATTTTTCCATGCAACTGCGGCAATAACCGTTCTTCGTTCCATAAATTTTTAATGCCCCTCACCTACTGCGTTCTTCGAGTTCTTTTTTTTTTTTTACTATGTAAATGATTTACTGCACATTAAAGGTTTAAAAAAAAACAAACTTTTTTCCTGATAGTCATAATATTTAAAGGCAGTTGCACTTTATAATTGTAATTTATTACATAAATATTACGTAAACATGAAAAAATTATTTCATTCAAAATTTATAAATCAAAACATTTATTTTATACTACTTTTTATTAAAAAATAATAATTATTATTATTAATAATAAAATTAATATATAATAGTAAAAACAAAAAATAAAATAATAATCATCAATAATTAATAAATTGGAAAAAAATTCTCCGTTTTTAAAAATTTATACTTCCTCTGCAATTTGACTACGAAATTTTTATTTTCTAATTAATAATAAAATTAATGTATAAATTAAAATTCAAGTACATAACGATTCGTTTAGAAAAAAAAGTGAGTTTAATCTTCAAACCAGATACTACATACTATGTATATGCGGGTGTAGTTTTCTCACAGGGAAGCTTCAAAGTTTTAAGCTCTTTTGGCTTTAACTTTCGAGACACAAAGTAGGTAAAGTCGAAACTTCAAATTATAATTCAATTTAATTAATAAAGGTGAAGCCTTTAGCTTAAATTGAAACCTTACAACTTGAAACTATTAGTTAATGTATCTACTTTATTTAGTTCATGGAACTATTTAAGTTTTTATTTATTTTTACAACAATAGGAAAGAGGGAAAAATCAATTATCTTATTAACCAACGAATCATGGACGCAATGATTAAAATTATAAATTAATTTTTAATTGAAAATTAGAGAATTTAATTATAATAGATTTCAATTTAATTAATTATTTAAGTATATTAAGTACATAATTAATTAAGTACTTGTTCACGTTAATTTAATTATTATAACAAAATTATAATTAAATTAAAATTAATAAAATTTTATAACATTTTGCCTCGAAAAATAAATAAAAACAAAAATCCTAAACGTTTTATTTGTAAAATTCGATTCGTGAATATTAGATAAAAAAAAATTCCTGTAAACGAAAATGAGTTCTCCTTTAAAAAAAAAAAAAAATAAAAAATAAAGTAAAAAGTAATCTAGAGAAGCAACGAGATTTTCAAAGGTCTGGATAAAATGCAAGATAGGTTGGTACGTGGTCGAGAAAATAGGGTGGTTGAATTTTTCTCGCACTTTTCCGTATATTGGGGTCCCAAAGAGACTAAAAAAAAAAAATCGAGACGCCATGACGTAAGCAATTCATTTTAATTGGATATGACCTGACCATCTACGTTTTGGTGTCTGTATACATATATATATTTTTTTCTATGTATGTGTTAGTACATATATCGAGCAGAACAGGAGTGAGCTATCGTGCTCATAACATGCTTTACGATCCGCATTTGACGAGCGATTCATGCGGCATACAAATTGCCGAATTACATTTTCTTTGTCTCTACTTTCTAATTCCTACAATGAATTATAACCCTCTCTTTAATTCTTTTTTCGTTCTTAATTTACCTAAGTCATAAAAAAATTGCAATTAACTCAAAGCAATTAAATCTTAACCACCGGAGATGGCATTTTATAATTTTATATACTTTATAATTTTTTATTTATTTATGTAATTATGTAATATATTATTTATTCCATATAAACCTTTAATTACTACCAATTATTATTATTATTATATTTTTAATACTTAATTTTATTTAAAAAATTAATTATTAATCAATAATTTAAAATAATAATTATTAATTAATAATGTAAAATAATAATAATTAGTATCTAGAAAAATGGAAAATAAATGGATAATTTAAAAAAAAAAATAATTCTAACCAAATGGCAGAAAATTGGAACACGTAACGAACTCGATAAAACCTGATTCATGGGAGAATTTGTAGTGGGAGAATAAATTTCGATTTCTTCGAATCATAAAACCATATATATATATATATTGAATTGAGATCGACAGATGTTGCTGCGGTAATAATTTTTTTCCGAAATATATTTCCTTTTTTTTTCTTTTTTATGCAAAAAATATATCGCATTATTTCGAATAATTACATTTGGTATTTACATTTGATTAAAAATTATAATTTTTTATTTAAATAATTGTTTCTCATGCGAACAGTAAATTAATATCAGAATTCGAAAGTGTTTTTTTTTTTTTTTAGTAAACAAAATTGTAATTTACATCCAATTAACATTGTAATTAATTAAAGTTTAAAAGTGCATGATCCAAATCAATGATTCGAGTAATTATGCTAATTTAAAAAAAACGGAATTTTAAAAAAATTTTAAATACAATAATTTATTTCTGTTTTCTAGTTAAATAATAATGGTCAATTTAATCTGTAATCGTATATTATTAATGTAAATATGTAAATATGTAAATATTAAATATGAAAATATTTAATATTTAAATCAATTATTATCCAATTATTCGATTAATTATAATTACTGCCTAATTAATTAAAAAGAGATATACATTTTCATAATTTTATATTCGTATAGAATTACATTCCCCGTGGACATTTTCATTACGTTATAACGTTTCTGTGTCAAATTGAAAAAGAAGAGAAAAAAAGGAGAGGGAGAGAGGAAGAGAGAGAGAAAAAAACGAGAGTGGATATATAAATTTTGCATCAACATGAATAACAAACGGGTTGAGTCTGTGATGCGGAAACAGAATCAAAGGTCCCTAACGATGTTGCATCCAAACTGCAATATATATATACATATGTATAGACAGTTGATTCCCAAGCGTCGAAGGATCGATTGCTTGTAAATAATTATTATCGGTCCCACGTTGATAAACGCAGGCGTTAATTACTCAAGAGCTTTGACATATGTGCGGTTTCATTTAACAAATTAAAATCTGCAATGAAATTACATTTTTATGTATTTATATTTTTGTATGATTTCCGGAATCGAGGTTGAATAAACTTGTTTAAAGTCATTTTTCGCAATTACGAAGGAAAGTATATAATTTAGATGCTTAAGAAATTAACAAGATGGTAAAAAAAATTTGAAAAATAAAAATATAAAAAATTACCGACCTAGAAATCTACCTTACCGACTGATGGTAAAGAATTGTTTTTAAAATGATAATATAAAAAATTACCGACATAGAAATCTACCTTACCGACTAATGGCAAAACAGATTTTTTTGGAAAATATAAAAAATTACCGACACAGAAATATACCTTGCCGACTGATGGTAGAACAGTTTTTTGGAAAATGAAAATATAAAGAATTGCCGACACATAACTCTACTTTACCGACTGATGATAAGGTAGAGTTCTATGTCGGTAATTGTTTATATTTTCCAAAAATCTGTTTTACAATGAGTCGGTAAGGTAGATTTCTTTGTCGATAATTCTTTATATTTTTCTAAAATTTCCGGTCTCTTGAAATCCGATATACGTCAGTTTCACTGTATATCTAAACAATATGAGACATAAAAAAAATTCCAAAACAAGAGACAAATTTTTAATAACAATAATTTGTTTAATAATTGCACATAAAATTGTATCTTTACTCTGACGTGTGTAAGAAAATAAATTAACGACACTTCGATACGGGAAACAAAAATAAAAAATATTTTTTTTTTTTGTTTCCTGACTACCGCTGTCAATGAACTTTTTAAAATAATCGTTTACACGGAACAATATTTATAAACAATTTTTTAATGTTTATGAAACGAATTTACGTATTGAGAAAAAAAGTTTTTGTTTTATAAAAATCCTTTTTTTTATGCATTATTATTATTAATGAATTGTACACTGAAAAAAAATGTTATTCAATAATTCAAATAATCGGTTACTTGACTATTAACAAATTAAATATTTACTTGAAGCAAATAATTTTTATTTTAATTAAATAAACTGTATAAGAATCAATAATTTCTGTATTTGAAATAAATACGATCTCAGATAATAATTATTGGAAAAAAAAAATTTATATGATAAAATTCAAGTAATCAATTAATTGAATCAAACAAATTTTTTTTTTGAGTGCAATTAATATAATAATAATAATAATAATAATAATAAAATTATTTAATTAATATTACTATTAAAAATGTAAAATTTTAATAAATAATTTAACAAATTGTTATAATTATATTAAACTAAAATTAACAAAAAAAAATAAATAATGATAAAAAATTTAAATTGCATTTGAGTGCCATTTACGTGCGAGAATATTTTTGGATACTTTAGATAAACTTTTGGGTTTTGTATTGTAAATCTATGAAGAGTTTGTCATGTATGTAAAATAGCTGATAACGTTCATAAATTTCCATAGTGATCAACCTGTGATGTGTGTGTGTGTCTGTACCTCGCGAATATGAAAAGTTTATCCTGTTTTCGTTTTGTCTGTAAAATCTTGATACACTTTTTCCAATGGAGAAAAGCATACTTTTATATATATACAAGTTTTTTTTTTCAGCGCGTGTTTCTTTGCCAATAGTAAACGCCTTTGACCCGCAGGAAGACAGCACTTGTTCAAATATCTGGCCACCGTTTTTGCTTGGAGCGAAAGATTATTTTTACGATGCTCCCCTTTTTTTTATTATACATTATGGAAACACACACAGGAAGAAGCGCAACAAAAAAATAACTGATAAACTAGAGGTTGTAAAACTATTTTAAGTTATTTAAAATAATACAAGAACTTTTTTTTCTATAAATGATAATAATAATAAATAAATAATAAATTATAATAAATAATAAATAAATAATAAAAAAAAATAATGTTGAATTTTTAATTTAATTAAAAAAATTTAATAATTAATTTTTTTTTCTCGCAATAGTAAATTCATAATATGAATATGTAACATCTAAAACAGGAACTAATCTTCGAACAACTATAATTAATTTCGCAAGCAATTAGATAAGTTTATGTCTATGCCAGAGAGTGAGAAATTTCTGATGTTCGCGAGTTTATGTCAAAAGAGCGCGTCGTTATATCCCATATATATATATATAACAAAATAATAAAGTTACATTTTCGTGTCAGTATGTCAAAAGTGATTTAATAAACAAAATGTTTACCCTGTTTTAAAGACATTAAATAATTATATTTTAATATGTTAATTAAAATATATACTTTATAATTTTAATCAATATTTTTATATTATAATTTGTATATTCATATACTAAACAAAAAAAATGATTTTATTCAAATAATTGACAATAAAAATAAATATTTATTTATATCAAATAGTCAATAAAATGGTATTTATTTAAAATAAAAAAATTTGATTAAAAATTAAAAATTATTTTATTAAAACAAAAATTATTTGAGTTAAATAAATTTTATAATATTTATTATTTATTTTTATAGCAATATTATGTATGTCATTATTATTATTACTATAAAAAATAATAATAATAATTTTCATTTGCAAGAAACATCAGTAAAATAATAATTTGTATTGTCACAAAACAGATGAAGCTGAAATTTCCATTGTAAAAAAAAAAAAAAAAAAAAAACGAGAATATTGTATGTATTGCAAATAATAATTATTCATTCATGATAATCAATTTTTCGTATTGGAAACAAAGATAGCAGATTGAATGAATGGTAATTACAATTATTAAATGATATTTTTAATAAATGGTATTTTCAAATAAATGACACTTTTAAATAATGTCAATTTCAATAATTACTATATAAATTCAATTATTATCAGCGATAGTCTCAATTATAATGGTAATTTAATTCATTGGTAGTCTCATATAGTTAATATTACTTATAATTATATGGAATCGTTTAATTAATATATTTGTATTTTAAGCAAATTTAATTTACAAATATTTGACGCAAGTAAAATTTTTATTTTTAGCAAATATAATTTATATGAATCAAATAAAATTTATTTAGCCCAAGTAAAATTTTACTTGCAAGAAAATATAATTTATTTAACGTAAATAAAATTTTAATTTGAAGCAAATAAAATTTATTTCGCTCAAGTAAAATTTTTATTTTTAGCAAATATAATTTATATGAATCAAATAAAATTTATTTAGCCCAAGTAAAATTTTACTTGCAAGAAAATATAATTTATTTAATGTAAACAAAATTTTAATTTGAAGCAAATAAAATTTATTTCGCTCAAGTAAAATTTTAATTTGAAGCAAATGAAATTTATTTGGTGTAAGAAAGAAATTTTTATTTTACATCTGAATATGGACAAAATTCTATTTAAAAAATATTAAATGAATGATTAAAGGCAACAAATTATTATTATTATTTTTTTTTTTCATAAAAACAAATTAGATTTTAGTATAAACGTCAGTCTCATTAAACAGTAAAGGTTCGTTACTGCTAATAAAGTTTCGTATTTATTACGCAGTCATAATCAATATACGAATGAAATACATATATATAGTTGTTTGCACGCGATGGTGGATACAAAGCTTATAGTTTTAGTCCCTCTCTCGCGTTTTACTATTAATGCCACTTTCCGTTAATATGTTGGCAATTTTATCCATATATATATATGAAGGGAGAGAAAATATCGTGTCTCTGTCAAAAGAATCGGTGACATATTGTCTACATTTTCCAGAAACTTTCTTTACTCTAATCATAGACAACGATTTTTTCTTCCCTTCGTATACATAAATAAAATAAAAAAAAAAATTACTTTGAAAAATTGAATCCCTCAAAATCGATTTTCTAATTCTTTAGATGGTTCTTTAAAGGTTCAAATAAAATTTATTTCATTCAAATAAAATTATTTGGTTCAAATATTCGTTTATTTTAATTAAATTAATTTTTTTTTTCTACTATTGGTTTTTTCTGAAAAAAAACTACTACACGCCAACAGCTTTATAATGCTTCGTGCGTGTGTATTTATGACTCGGATATATTCTTAGAGTGAACGTTATGCGGAAGTGAATTTTTATTCATCGATGAAAATGGAAAATAGATCTTTCTAGAAATTTGCCTACGTTTTTTATAAGAGTTCCGACAAAATTTTTACATAAAATGTATTTCATTCATATAGAGAAAAAAAAAAGTGAAAAAAAAAATAAGCGCATTTTTAGATCACCCTGATTTTTTTTTAAATTTGTATTTTAAAAAACATAATTTTAATGATATTTTTATCTTATTTATGAATATGTCACTTTAGAGAAGTTGCAAAGAAATGTTTCCGGAGTTTATCGAGTACGTCCGCATTATTTCCGGAAAGATTCATTTGCGTGGGTGTTTGAACATCTCTCTACAACTGTCAGAGAGAATGAGGTATCGAACACATTCGACCGTAAGACCGCATTGGTGTGACTCCGACAAGCAATATTCGAACAAACCGTTTTACCCTGAAAATGATTACTTCCGTAAACCACGTGCGAATTCATGACCGCACAAATATACTATATATAAAGTGTATATGCGGTTTTTGTATATATACAAGAGAAAATTTCCTACATTATATATATATATATATATATATGGATTATCGTAAAAATTTATTGCAAAATCAAGTATGGAATTTGCTGCCATTGAATGGCAAAAAAAACTATTTTTTTATGTCTACTAATTTTTTATGCCCCTTTAATTAAAATTCTACTATTATTCTCTTTAAATCAATTTTTATTTGTACAAAATTTTTAAAACGCCGAATTTTTATTTATCCGAAATTGTAAATGTCCGAAATCAATCGATTTCGACGCGGTTTTTTTGAAATTGACCTATCACGATTTTCTTGACAATTTCGGTCAATTTTGAAAAAAAAACCCACCGAAATCGATTGTTCGGGCATTTGCAATTTCGGACAAATAAAAATTCGGCCTTTTAACAATTCTGTATATAAAAAAAATTTGTTTATAACCGAATTTTCATTTGTTCGAATTATTTAACAAAAATTTTAATTTAACCGAATTTCTATATTTCAAAATAGTTATTTAAACGAATTTTCCTTTGACCGAATAAACAACCGACAGAAACACAGAAAATTATAAGTTATTAAAATAAGCTGCAACGCTTATTATTTTAATCCAATTTTGCTTATTTTAATATCAAAATAGATTAAAATAAGCAGAATTGGATTAAAAATAATAAGCGTTGCAGCTTATTTTAATACCTTTTAATTTTCTGTGATACAAATTCGAAAATATAGTTTTCATTTAGAGTATTAGTAACAATAAAATTTATAAACAATTGAAACTATAAATGATAATTTTTTTTATATTTAAAAAAAAAATAAAATTCAGAACTAAAACATTTAAATACGCGTCGCAGTACATATATCAAAATTAAGTAGATCCCTCTCGCCTTTTAAACGATTTAAACTCTGCAGCTTTATACCAAAAAAAAAAAAGAGTCGAAATAAAGCGCTATCACATACAATTAACCCATTTTAGAAATGAAGTATTATATACGTATAGCAAGCTCAAATAATGCGATTAACGCGTCAAAAAATGTGGGTATATATGTATAAAGGATTTTTTGTGCATTAAAACAAAAAAAAAAAGTAAATATCGTGAAGCAGTGACATTTAGAGCAAAAAGTCTAATTTCAATAGTAATAATAATTCTACTAATTTTTTTTTTAATAAAAATTGTTTATTGTTAAATTGTTAGTTAAATTCACTTTTAGGTTAAAGTAAAAATAACTAAAAAATTCTGATAACTAATCTAATTAGTTTTCAGTTATTTTTCTACTGAAAATATTATAGTTATTTCTAACTAATTAATATTTAGAGAGATATGTTGACTATTGTATAATAATAATTTTAATAATAATAATAATAATAAAAAAATGATAGTTATAATAATAATAATAATAATAATAATAACAATAATAAAAATAATAGTTATAATAATAATAATTGAAAACAAATTATTTAAATAAAATAAATTAAAATATAAATAATAATTAAAAATAAATACCCGTGTGGAAAAAGCCACGATCTTGCCCTCAAGAGTTCGGGGCCCCCGGCGGGGGCCCATGAGGGCTGATCCATATGGCGAATCCATGAGGGGCACCGTAGGGGCCCCGCATGGATCGCCCTCATGATCGATTAGCAAAATTTTCTAAGTCCAAAATTCTAATATTTTTTCGTCAACAAAAAATGAATGTTTCCAATGATTCAGAACAACGAAAAACGCGTTTTTAATAAAAATATATTTACACTTTTTTGAAAATAACACTCACACTTATGGCAAAATAGATGAGGGCCACCGTAGGGGCCCGCATGGATCGCCCTCATGATCGATTAGCAAAATTTTCTAAGTCCAAAATTCAAATATTTTTTCGTCAACAAAAAATGAATGTTTCCAATGATTCAGAACAACGAAAAACGCGTTTTTAATAAAAATATATTTACACTTTTTTGAAAATAACACTCACACTTATGGCAAAATAGATGAGGGCCACCGTAGGGGCCCGCATGGATCGCCCTCATGATCGATTAGCAAAATTTTCTAAGTCCAAAAATCAAATATTTTTTTATCAACAAAAAATGAATGTTTCCAATGATTCAAAACAACGAAAAACGCGTTTTTAATAAAAATATATTTACACTTTTTTTGAAAATTCACCTGAGATGATTCATGATAATAATCATAAAGCATATAATTAATTATATTTTATAAATTGCATTTGATTGGAAAATATAATTTAATATCTTAACTTTAACTAAATGATGTTAAGCACTTTTCTTTGTTAGGTATTTTTGAAGTTTAAATAGCATCAAGAAGTTAGCATTCGTTTTGAAGTAGCGTGCGTAGCGTAGTTGGTAAAGCGTTAGACTCGTAGTCCGTAGGTCATAGGTTCGATTCCCCCCATGCGTTAGATTTATTTATTTCTCAGGTTTGCGTTTAATCATTAATTCTATGTATGAATTAATTGAAAAATGAAAATATCCGTTAATAGTATGCATAAATTACATATTTTTTAATTTTTTTATTAATTAATTTATTATTACTTTTAATTATATCCAACAGTTAATTAATTAGAACGTTAATTAATAAATTCAATTTGAGTAAGAATTGAATTTAAAATTGAATAATTATTAAATAAATATGTTATTTATTCATAACTTAAGCTTATTTATTATTAATTAACTTTTATTATTAATATTATTGATTAAAAAACATTATGGCAAACTTGAGGGCAAGATGAGGGCAAACGTGAGGGCCCATAAGGGCGCCCGTAGGGGCACCCTCATGGATCGCCCATGCGGGCGCCCTCATCGATGAGCATGTCGTTTCCATGAGGGGCCCCTATGGATCATCCATATGCGGCCCTCATGGCATGAGGGCGATCCATAAGGGCCCCCGCTGGGGGCCCACATCACTTTTCCACACGGGTAAATTAAAATAATAATTAAAATTTAAATAATTTAAATTGTTAGAATAATAATTTGATTTTTTTCATTTGTTATTTTAAATTTATTTTAAGCAAAAGTTGCAAAAATATTTTTGAAAATTAAGTTTTATTGTTTCAAATATTTTTGTATAACTCCAGTTTAAACCAGATTTGGTACTCATATTTAATTGGGTGCCATAAGGGATTGAAAATATATTTTTGCGATTGGAATATTTTACTCACATAAATAAAGTTACTTAACAATATTTCGTCAATAGTGGTTTCGCTTTTTTGGTTCGACCTTCTCTACGAAAAAAAAAAAAAAATATATTCGTGTCACGTGTCACGAGAAGTATATATATATATATATATATATATATATACAATATCTATCGAGCGTTTTGAACATAGATGTCACGTGTGCGTGTCAAGGAGCCTCGTCATCAACTGACGAGAAATGATGATAATAATGTATCAGAAATTCGACATTTCCAAATATAGAAAAATTTATCTTACGCCACAAATGCCTAAGGCTTATTTTTATATAGTGGAAAAACTTTTTAAATATATTTCAAAAAAAAATGTTTATTATATAATGTAGCATTTTTTTTTTTTTTTTTAAATACTTTTTCTTTATGGAATATTATAAATATTTATGAAATTCGATTATATTAAATTGATGACGCGCAAATATATTTAAATTTATACAGTGTTTGTCAATTATGTATATATATAGGCGAGTTTATTCGTTTTAAAAGCATTTTATTTATTTGCAATTATTTTATTTAGAAACATTTTCATTGATTTCAAACGTAAATACAATATTCACTTGCATTAAATTGTAATTTATCGTGAATGGACTGTTATTTTTCATTTCTACTTTCAATGAAATTCTCGAAGAAAAAAAAATCCAGTCATGAAGAATTGAACCCGAGTCCTTATCGCGAGTAGGAACAAGGGAAAAATTAGTCAAAAATACGAAAAAAAAAAATCCTTGTGTAATTTTTACAATTAAAATTAATTTTACAAATTAAATAAAAATATTTCCGAAAATATAAAAAATACTAAGTTTAGAAAAACTTAGTAAATTAGTAAGTGAAAATTTTTCTATAAAAATCCCTTTCACACGCGTATTAAGTTTTATATTAATAAATTTCTATAAAATTATATAGAGGTTGAATATAGAAAAAAAAGGGCGAACATAATTCTCTCTCAAGTTGATGATATAAAAGGGTGGACAGAAGTTTAATCGGAAAGAATATCTCCTAACACTTGTGTGATGATACACGGCGCATTCATCTTCAACGTAGATCGCGTGCAATGTAATATTTCACGCGCGTTGCAATCGAACCGCGGAAATCGCACTTCTTATAACGATGCTCGCATCGACCAAGAGAATCACCCGCAGCGGCTTTTCTCGCGTGAGATCTGATCGTTGTCATGTTATTATGATGGGTTAGGTTAGTTTTCAGATTGCAATACTATCAAAGTGTCTATATATATATATATATATATAAAAAAATTCTATAAAACTTAGTACCAAAACTTAATTTTTTATACGAAAAAAACTATTAATAATCAAGAACAATTTTAATTTTTTGTATTATTAAAAATGTAATATTTTATTATTATTATTATCATTATCATTATTATTATTATTATTATTATTAACTATTGTTATTGTTATTATTGTTATTATTATTATAAGTATTTATTATATTAATATTATAATTATAATTAATAATATAATATATAATTATATATAATTAATTGTTATTATTAATATAATTAATAATATATTCATTTAAGAATTTCTTTTTGATCGAATTTTTATTTAAGAGAACGTTTCTTTTGTTACGAATAAACATTTTGGCGCAAATTTTAAAATTAATTAAATTTTATAAAAAAAAAAAAATTTTTTCTAATATTAATAAGTTTAATTTTACTAATTCAAAAGCAAAAAGTGAGTCAATAATTTAAAATTAGTTACAATTGTTATTATTAATATAATTAATAATATATTCATTTAAGAATTTATTTTTGATCGAATTTTTATTTAAGAGAACGTTTCTTTTGTTACGAATAAACATTTTGGCGCGAATTTTAAAATTAATTAAATTTTATATAAAAAAATTTTTTTTCTGCTATATTAATAAGTTAAATTTTACTAATTCAAAAGCAAAAAGTTAGTCAATAATTTAAAATTAGTTACAATTTTTACTAATTCAATTTTAGAAATATTGTAACTGTTTTTATGGAAAAAATTTTTAAATTATTTAAAACAATTATTCACGGAAAAAGAAATTTATCTGAAACAGAGAAACGTTTAACTATATAGTAACAAAAGTTTTACTTGTTTCAGTGTAAATCTTTTGCAATTCTAGTTAAGACTTTCGCTATTTCAGGTAAATAATTTTTTTTTTCCATGTTTGTAGTAATAAATAATGATAATTTATTAAATAACTAGAATTTTAAATCCATATAATTACTAAATACATTTTCTTTAACAGCTATCAATTAAGCTGTAAGTTTTCTTCTTCCCTCACCCCATTTTCTTTTTTTCATCGTTATTAATTTTCCGTTTATCACTATATTGTATGGGTATTAACTTGAGTCTGTATTTCCCTATATATATATATATATATATATATATATATATATATATATATATATATATATATATATATATATCTCCAACTATAAAAATCTCAGTCTGAAACAGGTTTCTCATATAAAAGCAAAGGAGGGTGTAGAGAGACTCGGGCGCGCAGAAAAGGCGGCAAAGAATGAGATAGAAGAATGAACTGTGTGTGTGTGAGATGCTGCGAAAACGCTAAGGACCTTGCTGTACGTTAATTCCCTGAGCAGGATGTCGACGAGCTTCCCTCACACACATTCGCAAAAGTGGGGAAAAACGAAAACCAAGGGGGAAAGAAGAAACAGTAATTGCCAGGGTTTTACTTTCTCAAAAGAAAATAATATTCGTCGTCGGGGGATTTTTTTTTTTAATCTTACAACAGAAAAAAATTCCATCATCAATGCTTGTCAATTTCATTTCAAAATTCATAGATTTTAATTTTCATGTAGTTTATTTAAAGTATTTTAAATATTTATTATATACTATTTATTTATTTGTACGAGAAGACCTACAGAAATATTTTATTTGAATCAGGGTGTCTACTAAAAATCTGAATTAAAATTCCAGGACTTTTCCAGGACAAATTTCTTATTTTTCCAGGACATTAAATTGGATGACTTTAAGGAATAAAAAAATTTTTAGTTTAACTATTGTTTTCAGAAATTATTAAAAAATTAATTAATTACTTAAGTAAATTTTCATTTTACTTATTCAATGAATTTTTTTTAACTTGATTGACAAAATTAGAAATTTTTGAAAATTTAAAAGCAAAATATAAAAAATTCAAGGACAAAAATTAAAATTCCAGGACTTTCAAGGACATTCCAGAACATTTTTTCAAATTCCAGGACATTTCCAGGACTTCCAGGACTAGTAGACACCCTGTTGAATGAAATATAATAAACGTATATTTGTCTCAGCCCGTTTTATTTGGTGTAAATAAAAATTTGATTTACTATAAATAAAATTTTTATTTAAATTAAATAAATATTTTGCAACTAATAAATATTTATTTTGCTCTAAGACAAATAAATAGAATAAATAATAAATAAATAAATTAGAATAATAAAATAAATAAAATGTTTTCGTTAAATAATAATTATCATCAATTATTATTATTATTATTATTATTATTATTATTATAACACAATTATTAAAAAAAAAGCAATAAAGAATATTTTTAGCTGGAAATCAAGTTTTAATTTCAGTGTTTTATATAAAGGTGAATCAAGTGTTTCTTTGTTTCTATTTTTATTTTTTTTTTTATTATTTAGGATTGCATGACGATGAAATGTACTTGCGGAAGTGATATTGGCAAAGAGAGTGCTTGTACCGCAATGAAAATTGATCCGCCTTATCGATCGGGATCTTCAAGAGTGCGATTTGAACGCGCCTTAACCTCGGGAAAAAGGATCGTGTAGGTGCGCGCGGACTTTGCGTTCTCATGGGTCCGAGAATGCAAAAGGTTGAAAAAGGAATCTCCATGGGTTCGCAGGGCAACCACCAAGTAGCCATGAAGAAGAAGAAGAAGAAGAAGAAGAAGAAGAAAACGCCGATCAAGAGAGAAGGCGTATAAGTGTATAGGGTCTGCGATTCTCAAGGCCAGGAACGTTATCCAAGATTCTTGTTCCTCGATTTTACCTTTCTAATTTTTTTTTAATGTTATTAAATTATTATTTTTATTTCTATTATATTATTAGAAATATTTATTTGTGCTAAATAAAATTTTGTTTGTGCTAAATAAAATTTTGTTTGTGCTAAATAAAATTTTGTTTGTGCTAAATAATTTCTTTTTTTTATTAAAAACAAATAAAAAGTTATTTTATAGGCTCTCAGATAGAATACTTATTATTTTTACTGTAAATTTGATTTATTTCAAATAAATGCCAATAAAAAGTATTTCTGTAGCAATATAGTGTAATAAAAAATACAATTTTCACATTAAATGTTTAAAAAAAAAAATTATAAATTAATGTAAAAAAAAAATAATTACATAACTTTGCAAAAAAAATAAAATTGAATAGAAAAAAAGGGAGCTTTCGTTTGCCTTCAGTATATATATACGCCGACCGCAAAATTTTCCTCGTTCATTTCATTTTCCCACGTAAATTACTTTGTGTAAAGGGAGAGCAAAAAAAAAAAAAAAATCGACTTCCAAGCTGCGCGCTCAAGTTTATTTACAGAATTCACATTGAATTAAAAAGAAAATTAAAATGGTTCCACATGTGCTTGAAAATTAGATTTTTTCTTTGAAAAAACAAGGATTGAAAAGCTTTTGAATTTTTTACAATTTTATATGGTTTTTTTTCATAGATCGCCTCAACTTAATTAAACAAGAAAAGTCAAGGTGTTATAGGGGGGGAGGGGTGAAAGGGGAAGAATTTTCGTTTTTCAAAAGACTGACAAACGACGTGATAAATTCTCCTGCTAATAAATCAGAAAGCTAAGACGAAGAAGGGTAGAATTCATAAATCAGCCGCGCCTCGTCGAAAATTCACTGCGCTCTCTCATACAAAAAGGAAAACTCAGTATCGCAACACACAATTATTGGGCCCAAAGTTTTTTTGATTTCTAATAACTCATATAAGAATTAGTAAAATTTAACTAATAATAATTTTATTATAATATTCATTTAAATTTTAATTAGTAACATATTTTTTAGTAATTTTTAATAATTAAAAAAATTACCAATTCTTATGTGGAAAATAACTAATTGTTAGTAAAAAAAAATACTAATTCATTTGGTAAAGCTACTATATTAATTAGTAAACTTTAATAAATTAATTAGTAGGTTTCTTCTATCAATTAGTAATTTTTTATTAAAAATTAGTCAAAAATGACTAATTCTTAGTAAAAAAAATACTAATTGTTAGCAAAAAAAATACTAATTCATTTAGTAAGGCTACTATTTTAATTAGTAAACTTTAATAAATTAATTAGTAGCTTTCTTCTATCAATTAGTAATTTTTTACTAAAAATTAGTCAACGATTACTAATTTTTAGTAAAAAAAAGACTAATTCTTAGTGGAAAATAACTAATTGTTAGTAAAAAATTACTAATTCATTTAGTAAAGCTACTATATTAATTAGTAAACTTTAATAAATTAATTAGTAGCTTTCTTCTATCAATTAGTAATTTTTTATTAAAAATTAGTCAAAAATGACTAATTCTTAGTGAAAAAAATACTAATTCATTTAGTAAAGCTTCTATTTTAATTAGTAAACTTTAATAAATTAATTAGTAGCTTTCTTCTATCAATTAGTAATTTTTTACTAAAAATTAGTCAACGATTACTAATTTTTAGTAAAAAAAATGACTAATTCTTAGTGGAAAATAACTAATTGTTAATAAAAAAAAAATACTAATTCATTTAGTAAAGCTACTATATTAATTAGTAAACTGTAATAAATTAATTAGTAGGTTTCTTCTATCAATTAGTAATTTTTTATTAAGAATTAGTCATTTTTGACTAATATTTAATAATAAATTACTAAAAAATTTAAAAATTTAATTTATTTTTAAAAATTACTAATTCATTTAGTAAAACTACTATATTAATTAGTAAACTTTAATAAATTAATTAGTAGCTTTCTTCTATCAATTAGTAATTTTTTACTAAAAATTAGTCAACGATTACTAATTTTTAGTAAAAAAAAAAAATGACTAATTCTTAGTGGAAAATAACTAATTCAATGTTACTATTCAGAATTAGTTAAATTAGTCAAGATTAATTAATATTCTCTGGCACTTTATAAAATTCTCCTAAATAAAAATTAGCTAATTTTTAATTGGAAAATAAAAAAATTCCAACAGGTCTATAATGTAGGGATTATTCATGCGTTTGATATTGAATTATAATAAATAGTGTCTCGGGCACTAAAGACAGAAGTCGAGAGAGAGAAAGAGAGAGAGATGAAGCTGCGTATATTAGAACAATGGTACATCTACAATGGATCTTTTCTGGGTAAAGTTAAAGGGTGAGTTAGTCGTCGTCGTCGTCGTTGTCGGTTCTGTCGCTATTTTACGAGTCCGTTGCGCCGCTCGAGACAATAGTGAGTTAATTAGGCCTCGTTGCCTTCTCCGACAACGACACAGCGAAACAAGGAATTTTCGAGTCCTATGTGTATGTATATATATATATATGTTTCCAAGTACGGCACTGTACTGGCAAGCGCTTGCCTTTGCTTCGAAACTGCAATGTAATTACGCGTATAGGACAAACTGGCGGTTCCAGTTGAAATTTATTACGACCCTCCTACGTTCAACCTTTTCCAACCTCACCTCGTCTATACCAATACCATTTCACGATATTATATTCATTCTTCTCTTTTATACTCCCGATATTTCGACTTTGGATATATAGAACGGACGTCAAACAGTTTCGATACTGATCTCTTGAGATTGCGACATATCTCACAAGCAACATTCTAATATACACTCAGAGAGTGAGAGAGAGAGAGGGAAAGGTTTTCGTTAGGCGAGGCCTTATTTTCATTTCAATTCTCAGAATTATTTGCAAATGAATTTCAATTGCAATTTTTTTTTTTTCATCAATAAAATATATTTATCACCGAAAATTTATAATTAAAAATTAGCCTACGTTTTTTTTTACTCTCTAAATCTGAATTAGTATAGAAATATTTACTAATTTGAATTAGTGACTCACTTTTTGCTTCTGAATTATAGTAAAATTTTACTAATTATTAACTTTTACTAACATTTAGTAAAATTTAACTAATTCTAAAGCAAAAAGTGAGTCACTAATTTAAATTAGTAAACAGTTTTAATAATTCAAATTTAGAGAGTAGAAAATTTTTATAAAGTGAATTTTAATTAGTTACTTTTAATTAATTGATAGTAGAAAAACTAATTTTTTTTTAAATTTACTAATTAAAATAGAAGCCTCACTAAATGAATTAGTAATTTTTTACTAACTAATTACTAATTGATAGTAGAAAAACTAATTTATTTATTAAAATTTACTAATTGAAATAGTAACCATACTAAATGAATTAGTAATTTTCCATCAGCAATTAGTAATTTTCTACTGGGAATTAGTCATTTTTGGCTAATTGAAATAGTAATCTTACCATATGAAATAGTAATCTTACCAAATGAAATAGTAATTTTACCAAAAGAATCAGTAATTTTCTACCAAGTCTCTAAATCTGAATTAGTAAAAATGTTTACTAATTTAAATTAGTGACTCACTTTTTGCTTTAGAATTAGTTAAATTTTACTAATTGTTAGTAAAAGTTACTATTAGTAAAATTTTACTAATTGTTAGTAAAAGTTACTATTAGTAAAATTTTACTAATTGTTAGTAAAAGTTACTATTAGTAAAATTTTACTAATTGAGAAGCAAAAAGTGAGTCACTAATTCAAATTAGTAAACTTTTTTACTAATTCAGATTTAAAGAGAACAATTAGTAATTTTCTACTAAGAATTAGTCATTCTTATTTTTTACTACGAATTTAGTAACCGTTTTAACTAATTTTTAGTCAAAAATTATTTGCATGTATACAAATATAAATTTTCAGGTACAGTGCGCGGTCAACGTATATATGGAAGAGAGAGAATTTTTCTTCATTGATATCAGTACAAACATACACACACAAGGTGATTCAGCAAAAAAAAAAAAAAATAATGTTCTTGTAAATTCGTTGAAAGGTGTATTTAAACAAGCAACTCAGCGATTTATATGCCAGGATTAAATTTTCTCTCGTTCTCATCCCTATATATATATAAAGCCTTGGGGACTTTTGATTCGAGTGCTTGTGGCATGCAACAGCATCCGTTCCACATGTATATGGGATTCCATTGCATCGTATACATTTATATGGTGTATATATATATATATATGGTATTCGCAAAGACCAGGGACTCCTTTGTCTTGTAGAATCAGCCTTCGATGACTCTCTCAAAGTGTTTTTTTAAGACTTAATTTTTACTATTTCATAAGTGAAAACTATTTTTTTTACTTTATCCCTACTAGAAATCATCGAAGTTGTTAGTACTGCGGCAGTACTCAATTTTTGATAGGGAGTATGGTAAATACTTTTATAGTACATATTACCGATATTTTGATGTTAATATTAATTAATTTAATTATCTAATTATTTAATTATTATTTAATTTAATTATCTAATTATTTAATTATTTAATTATTAATTAAATAATTATTAATATTTAAATTTTTCTTAGATTCCTTTAGAATTCCCGAAAGAAGTAATAGTTTTGGAAAAATCTCGCACGCATGGGGGATTGAACCTAGGACTCTTGGAACACGAGCCACGTCCTCTGTTCACACAGCTATTGTGATCTTTTACCTAACGCTTCTTGAATATAAACTATCTTTCTGTTTATGATAATAAAACACCTAATTTACATCTAATAATAGTTTATAATTTTTTTGATAAATTTAATAAAAAATCAAATTTTATAATTTATAAGCAAATAATTAAAAATTATTTTTTATTTTATTTATTAGAAATGGTATATATTTCTTTTTTTCTCTATATATATTGACATCGGAGAAACGACGGGCATGCGAATTAAGGTAGCCTCCGGAAATTAGGGTCGTAATTACTTGCGAGTAGACCGGAGACGGATTTCTCAAACCATTTTGCCCCTCTTTGGGTTTCAGATTCTTACGATAAATTGGAGATTTAATGGTTAAATAAATGTGTGCCCTCGACATTACGAATATATGTCCTCCCAGTGAAATCGGGTCAAAAATTATTTCAGTGTGACTCTCAAAAAGAATTTATATTCTTTCCATTCTACCACAGTAATTGTGCTTTATTTTTGTTTTTTACTATTTACAACCGTTATCTAAAACTATTTGTCCTAAAAAATGTTTTTTCTTTTTGTTTCAAAACAAAAATTATTTATAATTTCTGTCATTTATTTAAAAAAATCATTTTTTTCTTTACAATTTTTCTTGGGAGTTTCAAAATTATTAACATTTATATATATAAACTTCAAGGACAAAAATTTTTAGCTCTTTTTTTTATGAAAACTTTTAAGTTTCAATGCGATTGTTGGAGATTATTTGAAAAATCGAATATTCATAAGCTTTAATCTTATTTGAAATTATACAAACTTCAGTCTATTTGTAAAACGTAGAAAAGTTTTAAATCCTCTCCCTCTCTCTTTTTTTTTTCTCTCTCTCTCTCTAGAAATATTAGTGAAGCTTTCCGTATTTTAGTTGACTTATGATAATAAAGCACCTGCACAAATTTATTTTTAACTTTTTTGCTATCGTCAATTTTAATTTTTTTTTTTAATTCAACTGAATAATTGATCGTTTATATATACAATTTTATAATTTTATTTCCTGATTAGATATTAATTATATATAGTTATGATTATCACTATTATTATTTATATTATTATTATATTCTTAATATTAATATATTATATTATAAATGTAATAATAATAATAATAATAATAATAATAATAATAATAAAAATAACAGTATAATAATTATTTTTTTTATTTTTAATAATTACGTTGTTATTATATTTATTGTTTTTTTTGTGAAATTATTGCTTTGTTTATTTATTAAATTTGAAAAGCGAAAACTTTCTTCCACAATGAAATTTGCGAATGAAATTAAGAGCCTGAGCTATTATATACACGTAAGAGTTTGGTCACGAGGCAGATCGAGTTTCTCGCAACGTGAAAAGAAACAGGATAGGTCACCGACAAACCGCGCGCGTGTTATGTCAATATATAACGAAGTATGGAAGTTAAAGCAAAACTAGAAAAGCGGCGATTCGTTTTCTTATATACAAACTTCCGTTAAGTTTATTGAAAGTTTAAATTTATTTCCAATAATAATTTCAGTATATATATATTCGTCACAACTTCCGACTACTTTTATATAGATTCTCGAGAAAATTTTTTTCTTTTTCCCAAATTTAAGATTACGACTTTTTTTTAAATTTCATCTTCTCAAAGTTTCAAGTTTCTATTATATAAAAATATGAGGGGAAAAAAATTTTTTCATATAAATTGAAACTAATAAATAATAAATAAATAAAATATATTTTTTCTACTATAATTTTTTTTTTTCGTCGTTTAAGAAAAGTAAATGTAGACAGAAATTAGAATCCACACATTTGCGCGGAGACGGAAAATGTAAAACTACGCAAAGGGATTCGTATATATGGAATTTTTTTCCGCTCTAGTTACAACGATCACACAATTTTACAGGCGCAAGTAATGTACATATATAGAAAATTTACACTCAACAAAAATTTTCTCAAAAAATTTTTTTTTAACAAAAAAAAAAATGAGCTTTGTTTTTTTTTACAAAATTTTGTAATGCAATATTATTAAAATTCTAAAAAACAGAAATTAAAAATAATTTTCAAATTTAAATATATGTAATGATTTTCATATTTTTTGGCATTTTTAACGAGTTTTAATTTATCATCTCTGACCTCAATATTTATATAAAATATTTATATTTGTCGTATTTATTTATATAAAAAAAACTCGATGTTTTCCAACAATTCGAATTAGAAAGAATATATATTTATATAACCATTAACGAAAAAAAGGAAGATAAAAATTAATTGAAAGGTTTTTACACTTTATATTGTAAGTTAATAAAAAAATAAAAAAGGTTTTTTTTTAAAACCCCCGCAATTTAAAACTGCTCTTCCTTTGATAAAAAAAATATATGCAATCATTTAAAAGCTTTTAAACAAGGTTTCAATGAAAATTTCATTATTAAAAAGTGCAACTAATAAATATAATTTTATAAAAACTAAACTATTTTTTTGAAAATATATTTATTTTTAATAAAAATTAAAAACAAAATAAAAATAAGTAATAAAAAAAAGTGAATAATTACTGAAACCAGAATAGAATGTAAAAATAATCACAAATGAAAATAAATAATAAAAAAAGTTAAATATAAAATATGAAAAATATGAATTTTTTGTTTCTATAAAAAAAAATCGTTAATTGAATAATAAAATAATAAAAAAAAAAATTTATATTGAAAAAATTGTGAAAGAAAAATTAATATAAAAAAAAAATATATTCGTAGCTATATATAACAGGACAGTAGTGTGTGACAACGATTAATTTCGAGGACATCGCTGCGTGAATCTGAGCGATAAGAGAACATTAATTATGAGATTAATTGAACCTACGTATGAGCAAGCGCAAAATGACGATATATATATATATATATATTAAGAAAAGATGGTTATAAAAGCTTTGCGAGGGTGCAGTGACCTCAGTGACGACCTGGTCTCATGAAACTCTCGAGAACAAGAAATTCTCATGTGTAAATGCCAAGCGCGAATATCGAACTTTATAACGAGCTTTAGCTCAACAAATAATTAATGTGTCAATAATAGACATTCTCAAACCACGTGCTACACATGTGTCATCAACTATATCAACTGTTGCCGCGCTCACCAAATTGCAACGCGAAAATTATTTCCAAATTTTATATTTTATTTATTTATTTATATAATATATAATTCTATCTCGCATTAAATTCGAATTCAAGTTTTCCTAAATTAAAAAAGAAGTTTAAGTCGATCAGAATATTAATTCATACTTTTTAATGATTAATTAGTGATTAATTAGTGATTAATAATTATTAATAAAATAAGAAATAAAATAAAAAACAAATAATAAAATAAATGAAAATAAAAAATATTATTAAAAAAGAAAAAAATTAATTTAGCCTTGAATTATTTATTACTAATATTATTTTTTTTTCTTAATTTTTTTATTTTGTTAATCATTAATTAATCATTACAAAATAATATTAATATTATAATAATATAATATAATAGTATTAAATTAAAATTTTATTATTTATTTTTTATATTGTTTATTTATTTTATTATTAATTGTTGTTAAATTAAAGTTAAAATAAAAAAATTTAATTGTTAAATTTTATAATAAAACTTAATTTTAATTCAATACTTAAATCAAAATTAAGAAAAAAAAAACAAGTTTTTTCTATGAAATTAATTTTTTTTCTAAAATTTGTATTTTGATAAATAAATAAATATAAATAATTATCAACGAAATATTTAACAATAAAGGGTAACTATTATTTGAATCAAATAATTTTTCTAATTGAAACGAAAAAATTAAGTTCATTACAACAAATTTTGCAAAATTCCATCAAAATTAACATTGGACGTATATAACAATTTAATTAATTTCTCTGCAAACTTTTTGTAATTAACTGGGTATATATGAGTGTCTCGGAATTTTGGATTTTCGCCAAACGAGAATTTTATAATCCCACAAATTTCAATTTATGTTAATTAAACTGAAACACCGAATATATATAGTCAACACGAAATTTTTGGTAATAATTAAAAGTAAGGAAAGAAGAAAAAAAAAAAAAAGAAACAAAATCCCGCCTTCAGTAATATTATCTAATATATATGACTGGAACGGTTACGCTTTCATCGTTGCTTCCTCGAGTGAAAGTAAATCTAGCAAAAGGAGAGAGAATCCATATAAGGCGCGTGCTCACGTGTATTACATCATTGACTTGTGTAAATGTGTGAGAAAAAAAAAAAAATTTTCGAATTTTTATTTTTTCCATACTATTTTTTTTTTTCTATGCCAAAAAAAAATTTGATTTTATTTGGTAATTAGGGGTAGAGAAATGTACCAAATTGAATGATGGTTAAATGTGGTTAAATATAAACATACGCAATTCGTATTTGCAAAATGGAAATCCAACCACCAGGATAGTTTACCTTAAAATCAGCCCGACGTATCGCGCGCCCTTTGTATAGAGAGGCAGGAGAGGACCGAAATCCAAAAGAATTATTCCAAAGTAGTATCACTTTATTGTTGACAATTTCTGACTCACCTGTAATCAAAAATAAAAATTTCCCATTAGAATATAAACAAGCAAATTTTAATTTTATTTTAAAATAACATCAGAGAAAAATTTTCAATATATTTTCTATATTTTCAGAAAAAAAAAAAGTTATTTTATTTTCAATATCAAATTAAATAAAAAGTAAATTAAAAACAAACGTTTTTACAATAACAGAGATAGAATAAAAATTAAAGTAAAACATTTTTAAAATTCCATTATAACTGTAAATCAATTTAATTTTTTTTTTTTCAAATATTCTTTACATCACGTACTGTATTGAATAGTAAATTTAAAATTCAATAATTTAAACAAAATAATAACAGACACTAATAATACTAATACTAATAATTATACCAATTTTTTCATACATAGAAATAATATAATAATAAAAAAAAATCATTCAAATTTGACTATTATAAAAAAAAGTCTAAATCAATTGTTTAAAACAAATATCAATAAACTTATCAATAAAATACAATGAAAAAAATTTATTTTATTCAAATCCTCTATTACTTCACTCAGAGAAATGGTATATTTGTCTCCGAGCCTACTAACTCATTTATTTGTTGCAAACATATTTCATTTCATTGAAATAAACAATTTATTTGAGCCAAAGAAAAATTTATTTCTGACAAATAAAATTTTTATTTACGCCAAATAAATAAATTAGTAGGCTCTGAGACAAATATACGTTTATTTAACTCAAATATATTTTATTTGGTTCAAATAAATCATTTCTCTGATTGTTGACTATTATCAAATAAATATTTACTTGAATCAAATAATTTTTATTTGAATTAAATAAACTGTATTTGGACTAATAATTTCTGTATTTCAAACAAATACAATTTGACTGAAATAAAAATTATTTGATATAAATAAATATTTATTTGATAATTCGTCAAGTAACCGATTATTTGAATCAAATAAATTTTTTTTCAGTGTATTAATTATATTATTATTTAAGTCAATCAAATTTTATTAAAAAATAATTGATTTGAATACAGTTTTTTTTGTTTATAGTATAACCGATTATTTGAATCAGATTTTTTTTTTTATGAAACTTTAGTACCTGGTAATAAAAAAAAGAGTTTCAAAAACATTATTTACGAACAATAATGGTGATAATAAAGTATGTAATAAAAAAAAAATTATTGTTGAAAACAATGGTAACTGTGTTTGAATGACGATAATTATTAAACTATATTAATAAACTTCAGTTATATGTTATTCCAACAAAATATATATTCTAAAGAGAAATGAATCTCTGCGGATGATATGACAGATTACAGATGGAAATTTGTCAATTAGAAAAGAGCAAATTCATAATCCAGTATGATTTTTGAAAGGAGATTAAAAACTCAATTCTAATCGAAATTGTCCAGGGGAGATTGAAAATTGGAAACTAACAACATCCGGATTTATTCATTGTTGTATCATTTATATATATATATATATATATATATATATATGTATTGAGGAAGAGTGACACAATGACGTCACAATTGATGATACATATATACTCAATTTCAATGTGCAAAATAACTCTCTTCATGAGACCTAAAGAGTTTATAAACTATTTCTCATTCGATATATTGACCAATTCCTCTTCATATATTTAGTTTCAAACGAATACTAATTTTCAAATTATTGTATTATTGCGTATAACTCCAGAAATTGGACGAGAAATTTTTTTTAATAAATTCGATTTTTTTTCTAGAATAAAATTTATATACAAAGAAAAATGGTAAAATAAAGTAATTTTTACTAAATAAATTCTGTAAATTATTATCAGAAATGTGACTTTTTCTACGGAAATAGTAAAAAATACTAAAGTTTCAGAAGTAATTTTTTTTTTTCTATTTTCGAAGCAAAAGTTGCCGTAGAATAAATGTATTTAATTTCCTTTTTTTTTTAGTTTTGCTATCACAAAAAAATGTTTCGAAAAGCGGAAGTGCGCCTGTGTGAGGTAAAAATTGTAACCGTTCTATATACAAGGTCACAGCTTTGCAAAGGGTTCCTGTCAAGGCCATCTCAACAGACTACTTCCGTCTCACCTGTCCCCCCTTTTTATATATATTACATAGACACATTTTTTTTTTCGTCAAACATATTTCATCATTATATGTTAGCGCGTGAGAACAAAAATATAAACGTATACGTTTATATAAATTTTATTTTTTTTAAATTTTTACTCATTTTGCTCCAATTATTACACTGAGAAAAATCTGCTATTGAATCAACAGCATTTCTGACAAAGGTATAAAAATTATTGACACAGAAAATTATAAGGTATTAAAATAAGTTGCAACGCTTATTATTTTAATCCAATTTTGCTTATTTTAATACCAAAATGGATTAAAATAAGCAAAATTGGATTAAAATAATAAGCGTTGCAGCTTATTTTAATGCCTTTTAATTTTCTGTGGATTCAAAAGCATATATGCTATAGAATCTGTATAATATTTCACAAATTCTACAGCATATGCTTTTGAATCAATAATTTTTATATACCTTTGTCAGAAATGCTGTTGATTTAATAGTATATTTTTCTCAGTGTATTTGGCATTAAATTTTGATTGAAAATATTTTTTTACTGTACAACTAAGTCTTTCAAAATTTGGTGTAATAAATAACACAGAAAATTAAAAGGTATTAAAATAAGCTGCAACGCTTATTATTTTAATACCTTATAATTTTCTGTGAATTTTTAGTTCTGCACTAAGAAAAATATGCTATTGAATCAACAGCATTTCTGCCAAAGGCATAAAAATTATTGATTCAAAAGCATATGCTATAAAATTTGTAAAATATTTTATAGATTCTATAGCATATGCTTTTGAATCAATAATTTTTATACCTTTGTCAGAAATGCTATTGATTCAATAGCATATTTTTCTCAGTGTGTAAAAAGTCATTTTTCAATTTGATGTTATGTTACGTTATACCCTTAATCAGCTTTTAAAGTTATAAAAAATTGTGGGAGAAACGAACAAATTTTCACCAAAAGTCGATACTTTTTTTTGGAAATAAAAAATTCAACTAACAGCACTCCATTGTTTCTCTGTCTCTCTCTCTCTCTTTTCCGAATGGGTGAATTTGCATTTATGTACTGTAGAGCGTCGACAATTAGAGTGCAGTCACGATTCGAGTTGACTGAGGCGAGGAGATTAATGAAAACGCTTTGACGTGGGTTTAAGCGAACTTGAGTGTTTGTTGATACGTCCGAAGCGTTAAACTGTTTCCTCATCATGCAACGGAGGGTGTAAAATGTCAGGCCACGATAGTGTAACTTCACCTTTAGTGGGTTGGTTGCATCACACAAACCAAAACCCCTTGGTTTTGCTGCCAATCTCCAGAAACTCTCTCTCTCTCTCTCTCTTACTTCCTTTTGGTTCAAAACATTATTTTGTAAAAATATTTTCCCAATTTTTTCCCCTTCTTACAAATAATACCATCAATTTACAAAATACATTCATTATTTTTTTTTATCATTATTCTAAATGAGAAAGTCGGTAAACTTTTATCACTTTCGAATTTTCTCAAACCCTCCAAAAGAAACTAGAGTTAAATGCGTTTCGCAAAGATAAAAATATCTCGCTCGAAGTCCTTGCTCGAATTTTTCAAGGTCAAGGGGTGTGCGAACACTTCTACATATAGTGAGGGTTAAATTGGAAATTTATCAACTTGTACCATCGCAGTTTTTGTTCCATTTTTTTAGCGATAATTTTGAAATATATTTAAATTTCGATTTTTTAAGCAAATCTCTTGAAGAAATAATAGAATCAACTTGCATTTGAGATTTATTTATTCAATCTTCATGTTTATGTATTTTTAAAAAAAAAAATTTTTTAAGATAAGCACCTTTAAGGATTGTAGAAGTGCCTTTATCTTTCCCTTGGGACTTTATTTCGATACGAAAGTTCGCATCAGTGGATGTTGAGCACACCTATCTGGCTTATGTCCTGTATAGTTATATATATATATATATAGTATGGCACTTAGGTATCTCGCTCTACAGCTATAAAGCCACACCATCTTTAGCTTCCTGTTGAGATAGCACGATATATACTTGAGATGCTTCACACTTCCCCGAGAATTCTCTGGGAATCTAAGATTCATTTCTCGTTTTTCTTCGTCATACACACACAAAAACAAGAATTATACTTTTTATAATCGTCACACAAGAAATATATTGAACTCCTTGAGTTATTTTTGGGCTAAATTTCCCATAAAAATTTCATTTTTAAGGATTTTACTAAACGGAGAAAAATGGAAAAACGAATACTTTATTGAAAGTGAAACCCAAACTGTCTGCAGTTTCTGTCAATTTTTACTTCGAAAATAGTAAATTTTACCATTTCTGGAGTAAAAAAAAAAAAATTAAAACATATTGGAATTATTTTAGCGTCAATGAACTTTGCAAAAGAAGCAAAGGTGGTTAAAGAATAAAAAAAAATGTAAAGAATGATAAATGTAGAAGAGAAAACGATGGACGAGTGGACCCGGGGGCAATGTAGGTTTGTGAATACCTGATATAGGGTGGTGCAATCGGATTTATTGCCTCTTCGAAATCTTGCGGGCCCTTAGGCGACACAATTCTTGCCAGAGTCATTTTTCTTTAGCACATCAATTGAGAATGAAGTGCAACGTTATATGAGGATTCAGCAAAAATGTTTAAAATCTATACTTCAATAATAACTTCAGTTACACCTTTTTTTCAAAGGAGAAAATTTTGTTTGAAAACGAAAATTTTGCTAATACAAAATCATACATATTTTTTATATATATATATGACATTTTAAGAATACAATGAAAATCAACAATTATAACTTTTAGAGTCATATAAATTTGCAGCTGGCATCAAAAAGCGGAAGTAGTTATACAAAATTAACTTTCCTTATAGTACATATATATATATACTTGCACGGTTGGGAAGTGGAGGGCAGGTGAGGCACGGTCGTAGTTCTCCTCATCAGAAACTTTAA